GCACATGTATGAGCTTCACATCAGCGAACTTTCATCCTAGCCATGAGAAATATAGCCTAGTGGCCAACAAAACCTGAGAAGCTCACTCTGAAGATGCCTTAATTTGCCTGCTGAAAAACTCTCTCAACTCCTGTAGCCAAATTGATTTGACTGACTACAGCAAAAACTGAACAGCCAGCCAAGCAGACTCACATTTAACTGTTGACATTTACTATCTACAACTTACAGCAATTATCTTTTATCACAGGTAAGTTAAAAGTAATTAAGAGAGACAACCAGGGCAATCACAAAAGATAAGAAAGTATTATAGCACAGTGCCTCAGACCTCATGTACACACACAGCACAAAATTAATCTGAATAAATGCTGGTAACCCACAAGAGAATTCAAAGTACTGAGGCACAGGAAATAGGGAGAATAAACATAAGGGACAAAATTAATCAGAAGAACACAGTGTGCTGGAATAATTACTTGGTGGGATGGATGTATGAGGATTGTTCCAACTGCATAGATATGAATGTCTGGATCCACAGATCAGCTAGGGAGTTAGCGATCACAGGCAACAGCGGTTCAGGCAATCACTGGCCAGTTGAATCTCTGTGCCATTCAAGCAAGATTCCAGTAAAGAGGGAATACTTTATTTTACTGCCTTATTAGTATAGAAATGCCATGTTTGTGAAACTAATTCCTCTGGAATCTTTAACGTTTATATACACATAAAAAATACTTGTTTAATTTAGTTGTGAATAATGTGTAGTCTTCCAGACTGCAAAAAATAATTTGCATGATTGTTGTTTATATGAAATATGCTGTTATAATTTTTTTCAGGGAAAATTGCTTCCTTACAGAAAATATGTTTGTGTGTTGGTTTTGTTTTGGGTTTTAATATATATTTATGAGGCTGCTGAAAATTCAATATATAAACTGAAGCACTTGGGAAGACAGTAAACACTCAAGTGATAATTAGTCAGCAGGGAACTGGCTACTCACTTTCCCCCAGTGATCATAAATTAACCTTTAGGGATATAAAAACAGTAGGAAGTTTAAAATGCCATCTTCAGTGTTTTGTGAGTGCTGGTCTTAGTACAAAATTTTTGCAGCTTTTATTTCTTTATAACATACCTGCAGCTCAAAACAGCATCATCTACCTTTCCAAGTATTTGGCAGAAAATATGTTGCACACTAAGTAGATATAAACAAGGTTGCCCATGTTATCTGATGACCTCACATTAATTTAATACAGTGTATCCCATCACTAACCTTTTCCTGTTTTTGATATGGTATAATCAAGATGCTGCCCAAGTTGATTTGAGTTCATATTTAATGTAGACTTCCTGCTTATGCAGAGCATCCATTTCCTTAGGTTGAGACTAACCCAACTATGACTTCACTCTTAGGAAAGCGACTTGGTGCCAGAACTTCAAGTTTCCCTGCATTATTGTCATAGTTGTGCATTGGCCATAAAGATAAATATGCACATCAACTTCTCAATATGCTTAATTAAAGTAGTGTTTGAATATAGTCTCAAGGTTGCCAACTGCCAGCATCTAACAGTTCATTGGCATTATAGGTCATGGAGATCATTCGACTGTAATTTATTTATTCTTAATCACAGAATTTGTTCTCAATCACAGTTTATCCAGGAGAAGCAGGTATTTGACTAACAGCTAATTTCAACAGACATCTGTGTCACTAATAATAAATGTCATTAAAGCTTCAAACTCCTTCTCCAAGCAAGCAAAAAAGAAATGGCTGATAAAAAAAAATCCTGACACATCATCTAATACAGCAGTCTTACGTCAAGACAGTATAACGGCATTTAAACCACTCATAGAAAAAAAATAGAGGAAGTTAAAAGTGACTTCTGGATGTCACCTCATCCAAACTGTTACTTAGAGATATAATTTCAAGGCTTGACTGGGCTCCTCAAGGCTTCATGCAGTAGAACTTTGAATTATCTCCAGGAATAGAGAGATAATCAGAGATTCCAGAGCTTCCTGGAACAGTTTCAGTGTTTACCCAATCCCCATGATAGAAACATTTTCTCTAGCATCTAACCACAACTTCCATGCTTCAACTTCTGCCCTTTGCTTTTTTTCATACTGCTGTGTACCTTGAGGAAGGGCCTGGTTCCACCTTCTTTGCACATTTCTCTATTAGGAAGCTGAAGATACAAGGTATCTCCTTAGTCCTTCCTTTCTCAGGTTCACTCACAGTTCTCTCAGCCTTTCCTGAGAAATCTGCTCCACCTCCCTGGCCATTGCAGAGATCCTCTCTTAGATTTGCTCCCATGATAGACTCTTTCTTTTCACAGGGAGCCCCAACATGGCCCCAGTATTCCAGATTCAGTCTTACAAGTGCCTCATCCAGTGGAATAAACACTTTCTTTGACCTGATGACTACCCTCTTGCTGCTGCAATCTGGCATGTAGTTGTCATGCTCACTGTTTGCAAGGATCCCCATTCCGTCTCTCACAAAACAACTTTCAAGTCAGTCAGCCCCAAGATAATGCTGTTGCTGATATCATTCCAGTATATATTATTCTGTATATATACAGAATGGCTTTTAGCAGCATTCACCACCTGGGCATTCTGTTCTCAGTTACTCCCTCCAGTTTTGTACAGACTTCTGACCTTGAAATCACCATCTCACAGTAATTTTGAGTGCTTTTTTATAATTTTCCCAGTTGATTACAATTAAAATCATAGTTCTTTGTACATTTTCTGCTTGTACTTTTTCCATATTAAAGAAATAATAAGGAAAACACAGGAAGATAGTAAAGTAAAAAATCACACTTTACTTGATATAAAGCACATCACAGAAGCAAAAGCAGCAAAATTATGTTTACCATGTGTGTCCCTGTTCCCTTCTTACTTAACTTTAAGTCTACTTTGGGGCACTTCTGAGCACTCAAATAACATTATCACATGCACACCACAATCTTTTTAAAGTTGTATTTAGTCAGTCACAACTGTTGAAAACTGTTGAAATTGTTTCTCAAGTCCTCTCTCCCATATACAGCATTTGTCATGTACCTGCACTTCTCACTGCTCTTTCCTGCAAGATCTTTCTACAATTTTTTATCTTTTGACTATTAATGTAACATTCAATTTCACTCAAGTGTCTGCCAGTGGTAGTGTTAGATGCCTGCACTCATGCCTAAAGAGTTGTACTATTTTGTAAGTAAAGAGAAAAATGAAGCCTTGTTTTGAAGCCTTTTACACCTTGTTCATCTACTGACCTACCAAGCAGGTCGAATATTGCCCATCCTGGTGTAGAGCCCCATAAGTCTCCCAGTTTTTCATTACCATGGATATTTCCAGTAAATTGCTCTCTGAGGTTTCTTCTGGGGTGGCTTTTTATATTTATTTTGATGGATTTTATGCTTCAGTCTTCTCTCCGAATTTCTAACAACTTAACAGTCTTCTGTCTAATCATGCAAGGCTTTTTTAGTCCTATTTTGTTTTTATTGTAAAACATCAGTATTGATCCTAGACAACAGTCTCCATGCCATGTACAAGTATTAAACCTTTTTCTGATAATTCTTTAAATTTTTCCATTAGCATTTCCTAGCATTCGCATTTTAGTTGTGTGATTTTATGCCCTGCAAGGATCCATCTTACAGAAAACATGGGAGTCTCAGTATCCTATTAGCTCTTGGAAAGTCATGTAAGCAGATAGGAATCTTTAATCTTTACACTTCTGTTCCATTTTGTAAGAGCAGTTCAGTCCATCCCATACTCATTTTTCTTTCTTAAACTCCTCCGCAAGTATTGCTCTTAGGGGAAAATACGCTTTCTGAAATACAACTTTCTGAAAGAAACCTACCTACTAAGCCATAATGGAAGGGTCAGGCTTGACCTTCCTGGAACTAATTAATGTGTAGTGTCTCAAAGTTAAACACAGTGCACATGACAATATTTTAAAAACTACATGCTGTTTAACTTACCTCCTTGCTTATAAACTGTTAATTCCTGCACAGTTTCTGAGAACTGCCAAAACTTCTCATTACCATCTTCTGCAATAAATTCACTGTTTAGAAATAAAAATTAATTGTCCATAGGTTGATTTTGTATGAAGATGTACCACAGTAAAAAACTTCAGTTATTTAAAATAAAAAATACCCATCAGCCAAATATTATTCATGACCATGTCCATAGATGGACAAAAACTGACCTGAACTGTATGGTCAAAAGATATCTTTTTATTATTTCTATCCAAGTTATTTTTATCCAACTCAACAATCAGAGCTGTAAAGCATGCAGCCTATTCTCTCGTTACAGAAAATCCCCAAAATGTTTATTTTTCTACAGATATTTCAAAATCAAAATCAATTCATTTCGGAGGAAAACGAAGATGTTACTCAGTGGAAGGCAGGAACTGGGTAATCGGCCCACTAAATCTCCATCCAGCCTGCAAAACGCCTGAGCTGATTAAATACAAAGCTGCTTCTATAGCTCCTTCAAAGTGCGGGATGACGTTTCCAGTCCTGTCCACAACACTTTCCGAGAGAAAAAAGCAGTTCAGCCGCACATCCAAGAAGTATTTTAACACCCTCCGACAGGCAGAAACGCTGCCAGCCCCCTCGGACAGCCCTCCTTCCCGCTCAGCGGAGGTAAACAGGGGGTCCCTCCACCCTCCTGTTCCCCAGGAGACAGCCGGGACAGGGCGGCCCGCCGGCAGGACGAGAAGGAAAAAGGAGAAGGCCGCACGCACCTCGTCTCCAGCAGCAGGGGGGTCGCCGGCCACTTCGCCGCCAGGCGGGCAATCACGGGCTGTGAGGAGGCCGGAGAGATGCCGCAGGGCCACGGCCGGGGGCACAGAAGGGCCAGCAGAAGCGACAGAAGCGCCGCGCAGCCCGCCATGAGGTGCTCAGTGATGGCCAGACGAGCAGGGCCCCAGCGCAGCCCATTCACACTGGCCGCGCCTCGCCCTCGGCCAGCCCAGTCCAGTCCAGTCCAGCCCACTCGACCGTGCCGTGAGGTGGCGGGCTGTCGCTAACGGGGTGTGCTACGTGGCAGCAGGAGCGCGGGAACAGCGCGCTCGCCTGAGGCCCCCCCGCCGGGCCCGCTCCCCTTTGCTAGCGTCCGGCCTATCGCGTTATTTTATTTTTTTAAAATTTATTTATTTATTTTTTATTTTTTTAAGGTTTCGCCTTGTTTAGTGCAAGTGTGTGATTTACGCAGGGTGCCCTAGGCTTGGGTACTGGTGGCTGCAGGAGGCTGAGGAGGGACGTGGCTGTGTCCAAGGACAGCAGCCCCATGCCCTGGCGTTCCCGAAAGTTGCCGCTGGCCGTGTCCTAGCGGGCTGCTCTCCCTCGGCCTTCACCAGCCTACAAACAGTAGTAAAAGTCTTACTCTGGGTGAGTAGCTTCAGACATAATATACATACGCAGTTGTTCCTCTGAGAGGGAGGTATTTAATTTCCCCTTCTTCCAAGTTTTCCAAACTGACTTCTATTTTGAGATGTGTTTTGTTTTCCATCTTCATATTCTTTTTTTCCTCAAGCGGGGGCTTCACAGGAACCCTGCCTCTACCTTCTGATAGCTTACCTTGGAATTTTCATACTCACATTCTCTGATTTCTAATTTTTTTCTGTGTTCAAAATCTCCATAGCTTATTCCATTTCCTCAACAAAGCTGCTACATTCCCTCAGTTCTTCAGACCTAAGAGAGGCTGGTGCTGCTGGAGCTGTGTTGTTGGGATGCCAATACAGAGCAGCTCTGCATAGTTGTTCATCCCCCAGCTGAATAAAAAATAGGGTATTGCCTTTTCCAAAATATGGCTCATGGAACTCAAAGCTGAAACCTGGAATGTCTTACTGCTGCATATGGTTTAATTTCCTTTGTGCACAGTCATCTGCTCAAAGTTGCTTCGTGGGTGGTGGGAGCCAGTGAGGATGTAACTCCAGGGAGGAGGGTATGGATTTTATAATTTGGATGGTTAGTGCTCATTGCAAAGTATGGTACAGAAACTTGCCTTCACAGAATGCCTGTACTTAGCATGCTTTTTGGTATTTATCATGTCAGAGTGTGAGAAATACCTCTTGAGGGTCATTCATATGTAAATTCGGCCTAGGGCCTTGGTGGTTAGTCTTTTTTGGACTTATTCACACAAATTTGTGCTGTTAAAAGACCTCAGATAATTTCCAGCTACCGCTGTGTCAGTGGTAGCCAACTTCAGTGTTGATGGGTTAAGTAAATCATACCAAAAACCAGTAGTGCACCTTAATACACCTCTGCAGAAATAATGAAAACCACAGGAGTATTTATCTTGCTTTATGGGTAAGGCTATTAGAAATAACAAAATTCAGCATTTTTTCTATGGGGAAAGGCTATGATACACTGTCTAAGCAGTTTCATTTCTTTCATATTGACAGTTCAGGAGTCACTGCTGCTGCTGCTAACAGGGATGGCATGGCTAGAGTACTGTATGAGTAAGTTTGTTCCCCTTGTCTTTCTATGCTAACAACCCAGTTATGGGGCCAAACTCTTTCATCCATATAAAGTAAGTACACATGTGATGAACTGATAAAACACACTTCCACCACTCCCTGGCAAAGTTCAAAATGCTTTTGATGAATTTAAAATATCTCACACTACACTTGTTCTGCACAGAATAGCCTATAGCTGGTTTATATTGACCATCTACCAAAAAATATGCCAGCCCAAGTAATCCTATGGTTAAAGGAATTGCAAGTTGCTTTTTTGATGTTTCTTCAAGCAAAAAAGATGTACATAACATATTCCCCATGTGTATACATTTACCATGCATTTTTCACATCTCCGTGTGATACAATGTGATGGTGGATTCACCCACCTTACCCTAATCTATCAATTGCTTTTCTATATAAAGTTATTCTGTTACATTTTATTTTATATTGATATTGAAGAGTCTGCTATTGTTGCTTAAATGTCAACTCCTAAGCTGGTACTTGTTTAATCTTGAGCTGTTACAATTTATGATTTGCCATACAAGAAGATAAATAAAATCTGTTTGCACTGGCTATGGAAATATAACTAGCTTTGAATTCAGTGGCAAGATAAAGCGGTAGCTCTGAATCAAAGGTCAGATCATTAGTCCGTGGTGAACTACAGAAAATAGCTAGTCCAATAGTTTTCTTGAGAAAAGATCCTGTCTGCTTAAATTCAGAGATCTCTGTTAGACAGAAAGAGTCTCTGCTGAGATATCTCTTGCATTTAGGGTTATTTTTTTATTAGGGGCCTTAAATTTATGATCATAGATAGGCAAAATTAAATTGGAAGAGACCTCAGGAGATCTCCAGTCCAGCGTCCAACTAAGAACATGGTTAGGTCTGAGGTCCAGTCAAGTGTTGAAAAAAAAATACACAGCTGACACGGCTGACACCTGCACAACCTTTCTGGGCAACCTAATCCATTGCTTAAGATACAGTTTGGATTGCTCCTTGGAAAGAAATACAGTGCTGTAAGAGAACATTCAATTTCTTCTAAAACCTATTGCATATTTATCAGTTTTTACTTTGTTTTGGTACCTTAACTACATTCCAGCCATGAAGAGCCAGTACACACTTTAAAAAGATCTGTTTCTGTATATTGAGAAAGGCAGATTTTAATCTGTTAAACAAAATGCAAACCTAGAAGATGGAGAGCAGACTTAATCTTCATTTTTACAGCAGAATTTTATGTAATTAGGTATTTCAAATAACACTTGGCCATTCTTGTACATACATTCCATATATATGTGTGTGTGAAAAAACATCTTAGTTCTCTGAAACCATTTTTCAGCAGAACAGAAAAACAATTAGAGCCAAAATTTAAAATTATTCCTATCACAGCTGTGCAAATAGGAATTGATTATCATAGCAGTTTCAGTGTGAATAGCGGGAGTGATTAATGAATGCTTCTCCATAAGATGCAAATGTTTAGTAAGTCACAGCAAGCTATGTCTGTTTTATAGAAACAGTAGCAATAAGTGAAAATAAGTTGAGCTTCATCAGCATATTCAGTTAGCTGAAAATAAAACTTTATTTTCTTAACAGATTGAAAACAATTCCATGGTGAAAGGCTCCCTTTCTCCCTAATTTGTAGGTAATGTAAATGTCAAACACTAACCAAAAGATATTCCTGTTACGTGGTTATGTAACTGGTTAACTGATGACCTCCTGAGCAGTAGCTGCTGGCATCCTTTTATCTTTTGTTAGATTGGAAGATTTTGTTAGGTTCTCTTCAGAACCTATCAAAGTTGCTACTATGACAGGCATTTAAGGTGTTTCCCTAAAAAGATTCCTAAATCCTAAAAGGATTCTGTACTGCATCATGTTTTGTCCATTCCATTATAGACAAGCCATAGTTTTTTGATTAGCATATCTCAATATAGTGTTGTTCTGGAGCAGACCATACAAAATATGTTTCATAGTCTGTTAACTTTTTATTTTTATTTACAGGGATGAACCAGTGAAAGAAAAAATGATGCAGAAGTAATATAAGCCTGGTTTCAACAGCTCACAGAATCTGCTCAGTGGCAACTTTCTAGCAATGAGAATTTATGCTGCTTTGCCATGCCCGTGCATACAGGGATAGTAAATAGCTTGCTGCCAGGATGCTTCTCTTTCCAACTTTTACTGAAAAGAAAAAAAAAAAAAAGAAAAAGAAAAAAAAAGGAAGCTGAAGCAACATTTTGCTTTGTGAAATAAACACAGAAGTTACAGCCTGTTATTTAAAATTGACCACCTCAAAGATCTGGAGAATATACTTCCTGGATCAGGTTAATAAACTTCCTAAAAAACTCTAGGCATGTCTGTACTGTGGAGAACAGTAAAATGTGCTCGTAATGGGGGATGCAGCTCAGTTGGGATACTGGCTCAAGTTCATAAGCAATGCCACTGTTCTGCTGTGCCAACAAACAGTGTGGTTGTATTGATTTTTGTATTGCCCTGACTCCTACCATGCCAAATCTGAGCAACAAACTGCACCAGTGGGTAACTGCAGGGCTTATCTACAATGTTGCAGGGTTTTTCTGAGTTTGTCTAGGCTAAATCTTACTTTATTATTCCTGTGTCAAGCTCATCATGTAGCATGAGTTGGCACTTCTGATGCCAACTAACAATCTTGGTTGTTAACTGACCTGTGCTCACAATTAATCTCTTATTTACAACATGCTGTGAGGTGTTTGGGGCTGAAAAAAAGAACATTTTTCCTTCTTTCTCTAGTTGTAAGTTGTGAATTTATATACTCAGTGAAACACAGGTGATATGCTGATGATATATAATTTAGCCTAAAATTCACAATAAGTTATTAAATCACCATTGTTGATGATTCAAATAATAGCCACATACTTGTATATTAGACATGATTTGTCACATGCAACTGTTGGGGAGATTATAACTTCAGAAGATAAAATATTTATAAATAAAATGTGCAAAGCTGAGTATTTTTACATTAATTGATAAACTGGTATGTGCAATGAAGTGCCTCAGTGCCTACAATGCTGGCCACATAGTGCCACACCAGCACCAAAAGAGACTTTAGTGTGAAGGTAGAGGTGTATTCACTGAGAAAATACACTATTTCCCAGAATAGGGTAGTAGGATTTGAATTGTAGGCCTATCATGTAGGGATCAAAAGGTGCTATTGCTACATGCAAGATGGAAAATATAAAGATGAAATGTACCTGTACAACAAAGTATATCAGTGATTTTTCCTTTTTAGTCAGATAAGTGAGCAGAATTCTGAATCCTTTCCAGAATGCCTAAAAAGATGTAAATTGGGAAATTAGCTGGTGAGTCCTGAATATGCAACTGAATATGTCAAGCCACCTTTGACAGATGCGAGGACTGCAGACCCATGATTTACTGTCTACTCAAAGCCAAGTGCAGTTTTTCTTTGAACAAACTCTTCTATCCTTTTTAAACTGGGTTAGAATTGCAATTGTATTTTCACCTGTGCAGGGTGCAGACTGCACCATCCAGAGTGCTCCAGTGATAGCTTATGCTGGGAGGCAGGGCTCTTTCACAGCAGCTCCTGGCTCAGGCTGGATTACAGACTCAGCAGAAACCATTGTCTTGCAAGGCAGCATGGGCTCTGGAAGAGGTAACTTGTGCAGTAACTCCCTGTTCCTGGTTCTGCATGGAGCAGCATTCAGGTCACAGCAGAGCTGGGTGCCAGCTGGCTTGCAGGCTTTGTGTGACTGAGCAGTTGGAAGGACAAATCTCGTGTTTATTCCTCACTTCCCTTTGAATGTCTTGCTAGTGCACTTCTAATGCCTGAACAAAAACTATAATACACTTCTTGAAAGAATCACATAAGCATAGAATAGTTTGGTTGGGAGGGACCACCAAAGATCATCTAGTCCAATCTCCCCTGCCTTGGATATTTCCAGGGATGTAGCAGCCACCACCTATTGTCCAGCCATCTCCAATGTTTCACCAAACAAAAATGTCCTTCCAAACCCCTGTGCATTTTGTTGTTTTAATTTCACAGTGGTGACATGGAATTACACCTGTCTTCTATGATGCTGTGACTCTTGACTGGACAATGTGCTGAGCAACCTGAGGTGACTTTGAAGCTGGTCCTGCTTTATGCATGAGTAGAGCAAGCTGGCCTCCAGTGCACTCATCCAGCCTAAACTATGTGGTGTGATTTGGTGTGCTACTTATACAGAATTTGCTTTGCACAACTTACATCAGTAGATAAAGTTGCCGAAGTTGTAGGCTGCAAGCTGTAAACTTTCACCTAGATATTTTCAGCACATGTTATGGTCAAGTAAAAGAAGGCCCCAGAGCCAGTTCAAGTCAGAAGACAAGGAAATTGCAATCAGCAGCAGAAGCTTCCACCTTAGAGAGAAGTGGCCCAGACACTATGTAGAGACAGTGAGGGGACACAAGGAAGAATGGGAAGGCCCCAGTCAGAATCACAGAATCATGGAGTGATTGGAGCTGGAAGAGGCCTCTGGAGATCATGTAGTCTAAAGCTCTGCTAAAGCAGGTTCACCTAGAGCAGGTGCACAGGATCATGTCCAGGCAGGTTTATAGTATCTTCAGAAACTCTCTGGGCAGCCAGTGTCAGTGCTCTGTCATCCCCACAGCAAAGAAGCTTTTCCTCATATTTAGATGAATCTCATTGTGCTTCATGTTGTGCCTATCATGAGCTTAATATTACTACTGGAACCATCAGTTGCATGAGAGGTGGGAAATTTCTAAGGGCATAATTGCCCAGCAATTTTTTTGTTTGAGGTCTTTTTTGGGGAGCACCCAGCTTAAGCTGTAGCACTACTTATAAAAAGGACTTAATAGAAGAGTCTCTTTTTGGCTTATTGATTTAGTGAAAACCTTGTTGAATGCTGTTATGGTGGCTGGCACGTGTAATACCCGTAACAACTGTTCTGCGACTCTTAAGTGTAATTTACTTTAATTAAAAATTTGTGTAGCTAAAGTGAAACAGAACAAGCTGGCTGCTTTATTGTGTGAAATATGACAGATTTGTTTCCAGAATTTGTGGAACAAATTTTAATGCTGCATTTCTGGTTTTGCTGTGTCCCTTCTATTGGTCTGTCCTTTTGTTAACGTTAGAAGTAGCCAGTAGATGAGTTTTTTGTCTGTCAGGGGTCATTTCAGCTCACTTTTCAATGTGAAAAATAATAGTTATGGACAAGTAATCTAAAGCATTCCTTCCAGCAATTTATACTAAATATCTTTAGAGGGAAAACTGAAATATTACTTTTGAATTATGCAAATCAATATTTTATGTCCTTTTCAGTTAATCTGAGTATATAAAATTTGCAATTTTTATGATTTACACACAAAGATAATTGCAATCCATTTGGTGAAGGCATCTTTAAAAATCAATGTAAAAAATAAGTTACATGTAAATGAAAGAGAAGCAAAAAGTGCAGCCACAAGCCATTACAAATATAATGAAAGTGAATTTAGTGCTCAAGATTTTTATGACCTTCTGTTCTTAAACAATTAAGAAGGTCTTTTGAGTTTAATGCAAACTGGAGAAGACGCATTTCCATGCACATATATATGATTTTCCAGACTAAAGGAACACTGTGAGAATTAAAGCTCCCAGATGAAAAATAAAAATTATGATTCCTATATCTCTGAAGTCAGCATGCTGTATCCATCAATAAATTATAAAATGTGTGCTTTAAAATGTTCATAAACCATGGAAAAGTAAGGAATTACAGGAATTGTAATTTCTGGAACATATACATATAAATTAAATTCCAGATTTGTAGTAGCCTAGTATATTACTTTCTCTGGCACTAGCCAGTCAAAAATCCAAAGAAGTGTAGTCCCAGAAAAATAAGGAATCACTGAATGCTTAAATAAAAAGTTGTGGCTTATATCTATATACAAAGTGATTAAAATATGCATATTTCTGGAGCTTTGCACCTGTGTATTGAAGTGATTGCACGTAATTAGCAATGTGATTATCAAATATGTTTTCGCATGCCGCATATAATTAGACTTACAGAAACACACTACATTTAGAATATTTTAATGTAGATAAACTTTGAGGGCAGAAATGAAGTGTTGTTAAAGAAAAGCAAATTGTTTAACTCCTGATGTGCCAACTGCTGCTACCTCTATCTCCTGTATCCTTCTGCTGGGAAGAGCAGTGGGATGAGCTTTTCCTCCCCATCCTTAGTGCTGCTAAAGGAGCAGTGTGCAGCTCCAAATTGTGGGACACTGATGACACAAAAAGGAAGGAAAAAAGAAGGCAACAGGATTAGTGCTGGATCAATGCTATCTTGATGCATCCTCTTTTGAGTAACTTTGTCTCTGAAATAAAATGATCATTATAAATTAAATGGTCACAATTCTATGTGATTACCATATGGTAATCACACAGAATTTACACCTCAAACTATGGGAAAGTTATGCTTGTCTATTAAATTGTAATAAAGATAGGTTTCTGTCTGGAAAACATGGCTTTATTTTGGGTTCCTGTTATTCTGTGATCCTGATTTCCCACATTAAATGAAGTTAAATCAGAAATACACTGCTTGTAGTGGTTATTCACATTTGATATACTTCTGTTCATACTATAATTTTGATAACTGGCAGTTGTCAACAAGAACTTACTATAGTATATTAGGTCGATAAACTTGGGCCTTCTGAAAGGATTAAGGTTAAATTATAGGTCTACTCTGTGATGCTAATGAATGAAAAGTGAAATCCTGCTTGCTGGAGGCCCCAGCAAATTTTTTCAAAAGAATCTTTCGAAGAGTCTTCCTTTCAAAAGAAAGTGTAAGCTCCTGTTTTCCCCACAGCCTTGCTATAAATTTGGGGTTCCCAAACACTTTATTAAAGGAATGCAATTATAAAATGTCTGGACAACTTGCATCCTACTATTTCTTAGCAGTTGGGAAAGATGATGATAATTGTGCTAAAAACATCTGTATTTAAATAAAATACATTTATAGCATGTGAATTTTTATGTTACAAGCATCAATTTGAATATTTTAATGCTTGTCAATTTTCAGTTATGCTTGCCCAAAACCATGGGAGAGGGTACAGAGCTGCTAATTTTTTTATAGATCAGATTCTGGTATTTCACTCACCATCAATGGTCTGCAAGCCACAGACTGCTGTGGATCATCTCTGTCTTCTCTTAGCAGTGCAATTCTTATTCTGTTCCAGTTTGTGTTTTGCCACAAGCTGACATGAAGTGTTGGTAGTTTCTAGGTACATGCTTCTCACTGAACCACTTCAATGTGAGATGCCCTTAGACCCCTTGGTCAAACAAACTGCTTTGACCAATCTATATTTTGATCTCCTTTTTCTGACAGCCAAAGAATTATTCCCTTATTTTTTGCCAATTCTTAATCTGAACACTCCAGCAATCTTCACCTCAACTCTCCCTCCAAATTTACAGTTTATTCATCTCAAACCTGTCACAGTGTTGAACAATTTTTCTTCCTTCTCATATTTCTTACGTAGTCACTGGTCTGTTGCAAATGAACTGCAAGGCCAACAGATCCTTCCCTCTGCTGAGGCTTAGGAGAACTATTTTTTTCTTGACATTTGCTGCCACAGATTGTCATTATAGGTCAGAATTTCTGGTTCTCATGGTAATTACAGTTCCCAACATACTTTTATCCAAGATCATAAGATAAATTATTGCCAGAGACAGATGTCTCAAACCGGGATTTCAAACTGAGTATGAGTTTCTAACTTCTCACCTACAATGCTACTGACTTTTCTGTGCTGTGACTGTTGTAGATTGGCCAGATTTGAGGCAATAGGAGTAATTCTGCTGCAGCCTCAGCTGTGAAATAATTTACATCCCTTCAGCATTAAACCTGAATTCCTCTCAGCCTTTTCCAGAAGTCCAACTGAACTTTAACTGATGATGGGACCCGTATTTCACTAATCTAGGGAGGATAATTTAACGAATAAATATTACCATTCTTATATATTATGAATACACAAAGAGAAAATATTAAATCTTTGTATGGCCATATGTTAGGGAAGAACCTCTGATTGCATGCCTTTAGGTGCTTCCAGAATGATAAAAAAGAGTTAAGAAAAATCCCCAAAGAAGAGGACTGAATTGTTCTAAAAATTCTCATAGCAGCACATTAAAAAATGCAGTTCTTGAATTTAAACTTCAAAGGGTCCAGGTTGGCTTTCTGAAAAGGATCCAATAAAGGTCTTGTACAAAATAGCAGCAGCCCAGAAAGTGATAGCAGTTCTCAGCTTGCTGTGATTTTCAGTAAGGGATTGGAGGTAAGTTATGAAAGAAAGGTTCAGACTTGCAGACAGCTGTGAAAGCCAGATAGGGGTGCTAGAAGTTGAGCCTGATCTACCATTTTCCATGTTTTTTCTTCATTTTCCCCCTCTATCCCACTTTGTTTGTTTGTTTGTTTGTTTATTATTTTTACATTACACACCAAAGACTGAAAAGATTTGAAGGAAAAAAAAGAAAAAGGAGAGAGGGAAGGTCTAGTGGATCATTTCTAATATTACTTCAGCTTTTTCTCAGAAAACGCTAAAGTTTCTAGACTTCATATAGAGTTGTGATGGGGATTTGGATCAAGATAAGCCTATGTCTGTCCATGGCACATCTGGAAGCCTGTTTTGAAGGAAAAGACAAGATATGGCCTTCATAACTTTGAAAACATCAAATTTTCCATTTGAGTTGAAAATTTCACTTCTAAGCACAAGCAGAGGTGCTCAAGATGAACTGATAGTTGGATAAGTGACATTTGATGGGTCCTTGCGGATTAAGAGCACCTGAAAGGAAGTAAATGGCTTTCGTGTGATGCTAGGAGTAAGTAGCTGCTTCTGGTGACGCTTATCACCAGGTGGCAGCATTACACAGTCTTGCAATTCCTATACATTGCCGCATGAGCCGTTCTGGGGTCTCGGTGGGAGGGTTGATAAGAATATTTGCTAGTTTTTGTTAGGCAGGAGGAAGCGTGCACCAATTTCAGAAGAGCTGTATCTCTCTGTTGATTGACCTCCCTGATCAGATACGAAGCTGCAATATGAAAATGTGGGCGCTGACTTCTTGGACACCCTGATCTTTAAACAAGGGAGTTTATCACATGCTGCTAGACTGTTCTTTACTAGGAAAACCGAAACACCATATGAAAATGCAGTAGCGATATCTTTCACATGGTTATCAGAGTGACTGAGTCTGAAGCATCTCCATTTGGACACAAATGTGGAAAAGTAACTGAATGTGGTGCAGGTGACATGCCTTTTATGTGTAATAAGTACCCAAAGGCTTTTCTACACTCTAAGAGTTTACATCAAAAATACTGCTAGATTCAGAAGGCTGAGGGCTGGAAGGAATATGTGTGAGGACACTTAATTTTTTCTATGCACAGGGCAGAAATGAGAGAACAATTTCCTGTGTCCTGTGGAATGCTTTCCTCATGCTGCCCTCATGTTGCAGATTCTGATTGTAGATAGCATATGCAAGCACCCTGTGTTGAGAGTCTGGAATTGCAAAAACCCACCCTGTATTTCATACTCTTTGTTTTCTCCCTTTGGCTGCTTGTCATTTGATATGATTTCAATAAATGGAATATTTCTCACTTCACTCAAAAATATTTTCCCACTCACCGATTCTATCTGGCCACATCATGAAGCCACACAAATCTTTTGAATGGCAACAGCAGCCAGAAGCCCTTTGGCTAATTTTCTTAGCATCATCCTAGTTTCAGCAGGGATTATTGCTGGATACCAGGAAGGCTCCCTGAGTGCTATTGTCTGGGCAGTGGACTCCAGTAAGCCCATATGCTGCCTTGCATGCCAGAGATTTTCTCTGCTAGCTAACACACTCTAACTTCAAGCTGAGTTTTGTAAGTGTAACTTGGTTACATCACAGTACAAAATGAAAGAGGGTGAACACAAATTTTTCTTGCTTATATTGAAACCTGCAAATGCTCAGCAATGTTGTCTCCATTAGTACATTAAACATGTTCAGAAACTGTCTTGGGTACTGAAATAGAGTGACATGGTCTGACCTACACTGAAGCTATAATCTTGGTCACTGAGTGCTGGTGGGAAATGCTTTCTGGAATGGTTGACTCCCAAATTATATCCAGGAGTTGTTTGAGAGAGTGCTAATTGGCACATGCCCAAACAAGGTTTGAACATTTGGTGATTCTTTATTCTGCTAGATGTCCCCGTTGCAAAGCCCCGGAGTGAAAAAACAAAAGATGACCAAGCTTACCTGGTAGAAATGGAATCTGCCTTTAAATATCTTGTTTTGGCATTATCTAAAAGAATGTAGCTCAAAGTTGTCAGATATGTTCCTTTAATGGGAAACTATCTTCGCAACCATTGTAACCTAAACAAAGGTATTGAAAGGTATTGTATTAGTTCTATGAGGAGTTACATGGTTGTAAACAAAGAAAAAAAGAAAAATACTAGAATGTTGGAAGCAATTTATCATGTTCCAGTTGTACAAGGTCAGTGTCTTATAGAGGTGGAATTACGACTACTCAAAGTGTAACATAGCTGATCCTTTCTCTCCTCAGGAAAGCATGCAGCAGTGTGGTGTAAGGAATGACTTGCAGAAGCTCCTGCATATGGACTGGCACATATGAGACATTGAAAGCATTGTTTCTGTAGGGGTTGCATTCTGAGTAAAGGAAATTAAAGGTGGTCATAGGTTTAATAATATTATTACACCCAGAAAAGGAATGACAAGCAGAAGTGTAGAGTAGCAAGCCTTATGCTGAATTGCAACTTCACAAGAAATATGTTGCTGGCAGTATAATGCATAAATTGTTTTACAAGGAAGAATAAGGCACTCAGTGTGCCATTGAGATGAAGGTTTGATAAGAGCACATATTAGAATTTAATCTGACGAAAAATAAGGGAGGTCTACGCTTTAAACATTGAAACAAATTAATCCCAGACAAACTACTGAAGTTAGCATTCATTTATTTATTTAACAATTTCTATCCTCATGACAAAGGAAGCACCTGGCACTTGCTGCATGATGAAAAATTGGTTTATTGAAAATATCAACTGGCTACAAGTATTGAAACAGCACAGGTCAAGCAGTGATAAATAATTTAAAGAAACCAGCGTGAGGTAGGTGTCACTTTCATTTTACATTAACGGATCTATTAGATGTTAACCTTGTCAGACATGTAATTGCTAAATGAAATCACGTTTTTGAACCTTTGGTTTATGAAATATCACTTGCTTACTCATGCATTTTGTACAAACCTTGATGCTGGCACTGACACTGTTTCACATGCCCAGTGCTTCAGACTATCAAGTACTGTAATATCCTTTAAAATATGTTGTAAGTATGCCAATTTTTGTTTTTAGAAACCTGGAAGATGTGTTGAGCCTGGGAATTGGCAAGGACAAGGGATATACTGCATTGGGATTCTAAAATATTTTTCTTTGGAACACTTTTACATATTAGCCTGTTTCTGGTAGAAATTATGGTAGATTTGGCATGTAAATTTTAACAGGTGAAGGTATTCTGACTGAAATTGTCTCAAAATTAGCTTTTAACTGACTTTGTATTTTCCTTGTAGTTAAAGTCTCATTGGAGATTTGTAGATGAGTTATGTTTGAAAGGGAAAATGTTGTGATTGAGCACTGTTTGCAACTTTTAGGGCTTCATTTTTAACCCAGTCATGATCCCATTAAATCAATGGGAACACGACTGTTTTCAAAACGACCCTTTTCATTGCTTCATTGATGCTGAGGAGTTACAGCCATGGACTTGCAAAGAAGCTAAATGATTTTATTAGAACTTAATTCCACAGGGACTTGCACAGTAACGTGGGCCTCTATAAAGAGAACATAAACTACTACCAAATGAAAACTCTATGTTGTTGGTTGTGCCATGGTTTGTGACTCTACATAAAGTGTGGTCCACAGGCCATCATTTATAGCATTCAAATTTGTAAGCAAAAGCCTGACTTTGAAAGCTGCATAAATACATTGATTCATGTGGCTGCAAGTAACTTCTAGTTTCGGGAAAAGGAGAACCTTTTAAAAGTCAAGTTTTTTCAGCTAAACATCATTATAAATATTTTTACTTCTCTTGTACATCTATTCTATTGGTGTTTTTTTTACCAGTCTTCATGAATCGGTAACTGTCTTGTGTAAGTTTAAATAAATAAGAATTTAAAATTCTACTGAAATTGAGTGTTTCTGTTTAGCAACTTTAGTTTTGAGCTCCTTTGCATGGAGATGAAGGTACAGTGTTAACAATCTGGTATTTAATGAAAAAATTCTGAATTATGATATTCCTATATCATGCTAAAAGCATCAGAAGAGATACTTGAGTCTAAATACTTTAGCAGCACTTCTATTTCAAATGAATTTAGCCATATTTCTTGTTAAGTAGTGAATAGGCTGAGATATGAACAAAATGCTCTTACCTTACACATATAAATATTTAAATTTCTCTAGGACAGGCTTTGTGTCACCTAGAAAAAGAAAGAGGTTAGAAGACAACCTCATTAAGTCCACACTTTGGAGGCACAGGGAGTCTGAGAGCAGGTGAGCACAGTGGTGGCCAAAGCAGAGAAGAGAGTCTGGTCTCCCTAGAGAGAAGATGGGTGCTCTGCTGCTCATGCTGGAAAAGAACACGGTGATTTTTCAAGATAAAAATCCTGTTTTCTACTTCAGTAAGAGTCAGTGAGTGCACATCTCTTGTCATTAGAGGAAGAAGACTAAATAGGTTTGTTTGACACCAGACTCTGAATTCTTCCAAAGGATGAAAGGACTTCCAGTACCATGGTGCATGGCTGTATGAGGATGAATTTCACCAAGTAATCCACGGTGCTCTCCTTAAAAAAAATTCAGCGAATGTAGAAGCGCATCATCTCTTTTCATGTTTTGGCAAGACCCAAAAATTTGCCACTGTCAGACTTTTACTGGTGTAATACCCCAACACTACTATGGGACGCTGGGAGTGTGCATGCATATGTGGTAGATGTTAGGAGGTGGGTGTGTAGACTGTTGTTCTTATGGGCATTTACAGTTTGAGCTCCTTCTGTTTAGACCATTTTCTGGTAATTTTTAAAATTTCTGGCAAGCTTTAATGGAAACAGATACTCTACCCCCAAAAATCCAAGTACTCTCGGTTTCTATATAAAAAGTCTTCAGTTTAAAATACATTTGTCTATTTTTATAAGTTCTAAAGTTAAGTGGTCCCATGGGAAGGCACTGCTCTTCTGTTATCAGCCTTGCAGAGGTGAAGCTGTCTTTAGAGTTGAGCAAAAAAGTTGCTTTAGCACTGTCAGATATCTAATTAATCCCTCAGTAAATAAAAGCATTCTGTAATTAAATAAGCGAGATGTGCAATCAGTTCTAAGACAAAATGCTTTGCATATTAATATATTGTAATCCAGGAGCCATATGAGGCTTGGTTTTGGATATGAAGTGTTTGTAACAGACTTTTAACATTATGGGGAGCACACTGCAGGCAAAACAGTGTGTGTGGGGGGGTGGTTTTAGCAAAACTCAGTGGAGTGTGATCTGAAGGCTGAACATTTGGATGTCTGTTGGAAAAAGAATAATTTCCAGTAGGGAAAACAACAGTTTCAGGATGTGGGTTGTTGTAAACACTTAAGAGGGATTGAAAAGTAATCTTTGACACTTTAATGGAGCAGCTGCGCTGCTGGGGAACCGAAGCTATTGCCTCGGGGAGGTAAAAGTGCTCTGCAAAGGGGGCTCATGGTTTGGGACTTTGTGCTTTGTAGTCTACAAGAACCAGCAGCGCCGCGTACCAGCTAACCTACAATTAGCGAGGTAATCTGTGGGGTGATCGGTGCTGTCCGACTTCCCGGTATGAAGTCTTATGGTTATAACCACTTATGGTTATAATCACGGCCGTACCACCGCGAACGGCGCCAGACACCCGCTCCCTGCGGGAAATGGATGGGAAATGAGGAACCGAACGGAGCCCGCTCACCGGGCTGCGCCCCCGGCCCGTTCCACTGGCGGCTTCCGCCTCCCGCCCCCGCTCCACGCGCGGCCGNGGGAGCTGGAGCGGGAGCTCGCGTTCGACATGAAGGGCGAGGACGTGATCGTCTTTCTGCACATCCAGAAGACCGGCGGCACCACCTTCGGCCGCCATCTGGTGCAGAACGTGCGGCTGGAGGTGCCCTGCGACTGCCGGCCCGGGCAGAAGAAGTGCACCTGCTACCGGCCCAACCGCAGGGAGACCTGGCTCTTCTCACGCTTCTCCACGGGCTGGAGCTGCGGGCTGCACGCCGACTGGACCGAGCTCACCAGCTGCGTGCCCGCCGCCATGGAGCGCCGCGGCTGCGCCGGCAACCGCACCCTCAGGTCAGTGCCCGCTTTCCAGATGCTCCAAATCAGATCCCGCCTTTCCCGGTGCCGTGGCAAGGTGCCCTGGCAGCAGGTCCCGCTCCCCAGCCCCCGGGAGACCATTGTCCGCTGCCGTCCTCAATAAGAAACAAGCGGCGGGGCAAGGCTGGCGTTGCGGGGCAGGTTCTGCTGCGGGCCCTTGCCTTCCCGCTGTGTTACCTGTGATGTTCTCGCTTTGCCTCCAATTCGTGCCGATTCCACGTAAAGCGCGTGCGGGTTAGAAACGGGAGAAACTCCGCTCCTGTTCCGCAAGTTTCTCCTATCTGTGTAGCTGTCCTTTCGAAATTCGTCTCTAACAAATCACTGTGATCTTCTGCAGCAAGAATGCCTCTGCAGCATCTGATGGATCGTTGCAGCTGCTGAAGGTTGTAACTAGCGGAGTTGGGAGTATCCAGAAGCCCTTAAACTCTCTTTGACGCGTGTTGGTGTTGGCGGACAGGCGGGTTCTGAGCTTGCCGTGCTGCTCTGACCGCTCGCCCTCTGTGCAAGCTCAAAGTCTGGAGACCGTGCGTGGCAGGCTGTGTGCAGGGAACACTGAGTACAGTGCAGAAATCGCACCGTGAATGGCCCTTTGATGATCTGATGATAGTGGAAAAGGGAATTCTGTGTGCATGCCGCCTCTCTGCACGTTCTAGTGTGGTTTTGTTGGGTCTCGTGAAAGGTCTTGTCTGTTCTAAACATAGAAAAGTTGTCAGATGGGTGATCTCTCTTGATAAAAGATACCTCTAGGTGATTCAGTAAGTTTTGATCTTCGTTCTGATTTATTTACCATTCGATCAGATTATTCAGGCTAGCGTTAGAACGTATCTTTATTTGTTTGATTGATTTTGGACATGTGTATTAAGGAGTTGCAAGCTGAATTCACTCTTAAACCTCTGCACTTTAATAATTGTAACTCCGTCATCTGTAAAATATTAAGGAAAATATAGGAAGAATACCTTTTTTAAAAGTTGTATAGTTTGGCAGCTACCTTACGTCCTTTCATTTTAGTATCCATCTTGATTTTGTGAATCCACGAACTTTAAATATTCAGTAGAATCACTTCTACGCTGTGGTTTGTATCTTGTCACTTAAGAACATGTATAGCCCATGACATTCGTGGGCACATTTTCACAGGGTTTATTCATCGAGACAATGGAGTTGATTGTTGTTGTTGTTGAATAATTTGAAGGTTATTTGATGTGAACATCAAAGGCCCTCCCATACAGCAAAGCTAGTTGCATTTGGAGAGACTCCAGTCAGAATAATTTGAATTTATTGTGGATGGCTGTGGACTTGGACTGTACTTGCAGAATACTGTTAAGGTAATTCATACAATTTTATGAAAAAAACTTTAGCTGAAGTGTATATATTTGCTGATGGAAGAGAAATGCTGTGAATGTCTTCAGGGACAAAATCACTTGGTGGTAGCTGTAGAGCTTTAAGAAATATTCAAGAAATTTACAACGTAAAAGAGAGGGGAGGAGGAAGAGTAATACTTGTAAAAATGTCTGAAAATACGTAGTCTGCCAGTGAAGTTTATTTTTTCTCTCTCATGAAGAATATTAGTAGGTAAACAACTGAGTGCTAAATTCAATTGTCAAGATTATAAATGAACAGTAAAATTGGACTAGTGGTTTCAGTACTATTGCAGAAAACCATTCTTGTATTAGGTAAATTTAAAACTTCAAGTTCTGCTGCACAGCCAGTCATAGTGGTTATTCAGTGCATAGTTAGTAATTACTTTGATTGAAAAAAGACACATAGTGATACTTCGCTATTATAGGTGAATACTGTTTTCTGCATTTTTTTGGTTACTGATTTTGTTTAATTAGCAGATTATTTGGCTAGTGTAAGACTGCACTTCTTGATTTGTCTTCACATAAATAAGGAAAGCCCTGCGAATAATAATTCATTGTATCATTATAATACTCATTCTTGTATTATAACCTGTCCTAGGAGACACCTTTACATTTTTCCCTTTGTTGTGTCATTATAACCATGTAGTTTGAATTCAGCTTCTCAAGGAGCTCTAAAAGGAATCAAATAACCCTGAAGTATGGATTATCTCTGCTGTGAATGTCTTTGCTCCTGGTAAAATTGGAATCAAGCCCAAACTACTTTGCTGTACTATTAGAAGTGTGCATCTAAGTCTTTTTTTAATATCTAAATGGAGAATTGAGAACACTATACCTAAAATAGGCAAGAAACTAGCATACAAGTCTAATGTAAAGTGTACTGAATATTTTTGAGACTTCCTTTAAAGCCTCTGAATGTATTTAAAGCACTAGACTTCCTTGAATAGCTCAAATTTTATATTCTGCCTTCCAGCTATGGTGTCAGAAAATTAGGCTAAATTGTAACATATCTGACAATGGATTTTCTTTGTGGCCAGCAGGACAGACTCTTATGGGTTTGGTACAGAGGTGCTTGATCTCTTGTGCCATATATTTGGTGCAGTGAAGATGTTATGTGTATTTCAGATTTTTTTTTTTTCTTGTTTCTCCATGTAGCAGGTGTTATGCGGTCTGTCTTTTACCACACTGAATGAATAAAGGATTTATAGTGTATGATAGTGAAAACTTGTTTCTTAGAGGGCTAAAAATAGTGTAAGTTAGATTAAGACCTACCTTTTAACACAGATCTTCAGAAGATTTAATGAAGAAACTATAATTAGAATTCATGGGAGAAGGCTCTAGCTGATAAGGAGTAGATGATCATGGTAAAGGTCCTAGAAGATCTGTGAAACACTACCTCTCCTCAGTCTTTGTCTTTCATGGACAGTGCATTTAAATCAGTTTAGGGTTTTAAAGAGAATTTGTCTTAGTTTTTCCTCTTTCGGAGGTTGGAGTTTGAAGTCTTAGGACCCAATATGGAACATGGAGCAAAAACTGATGCTGTGCTCCAGAAATCTGAACTTCTTTAAGCCGAAGTGCCAGCATGGACTTTTACCTCTGTGGGACTTAATGGTGTGCTGTGCCTTGTCCCAGCTTCACTATGAAAAGTTGTTTGTTATTAACATATTGGATGCTATGGTGAAGTTGCAGAATCACTTTTCTTAGGAAGCAGAGTAATTATTTTGAATGACATGACTTTCAAAAACAACCAAACCAAGACAAAAACTGTAGATTTAATTTCTTCAAACATTTGCATGTTTTCATTTTCAGGATGTGAGATTTTCTGCTAAAATACCTTTAAGTGTCTACAGAGCCAGGCTACTAGCTACACTAATATGTAGCTTTCAATTTACAAAAGTTGCTATCTGAATGATGCCTTTTAAATTTTTTAATTATTTATTTTTATTTTTTTTAAGAAACAGTCTTTTATGTGTTTGCATTGCCTTCTGTGGAAGCCCTTGAAGTTGGTGATGCTTGTGTTCAGCTCCCCCCACCCCCAGAACTTGGCCTTCCTTCAGAGGTGCCAAGAAGCTGAGACTGTGGAATCTTAGCCAGCATTGCTTGAGGAAAGAATGGGAAGAGAAATGTTGTGAGATGTCTAACTTGGTATGCCAAGGAGGAATTGGTGTAAAGTCTGAGTGACATTAGGCTGCCTCTGCAGACAGTGGGGAGAAATAGAATAACACAGGCAGCCCTTTTAAGGGTCTCGGACATGTCTGACACCTGCTGAATTGTCTTCTGGAGGGCCACTTCTTCCATTCACTGATAACAAAGGAAAGGCTAGAATTGTGAATTGGGAAAGACTAGAATTGTGTCTAAAACTAGAGAAGGAGAGTCTCTGCATCGAATATTGCAGAGACATTGTCCAAACTGAATGTCTGTCTCTGTTAGGTTACCAGGTAATCCTTAGGGCTTGCTTTCCTCTCTGCTCTGTGGAGGAACGCTTGAGCTAGCCTGAGAAAACCTGATCAAGGCACATTTTATCCGTTGCTGAAGATAGCTGCCATATAATTAATAATTATTTATCATTGTTTTGAAGCATTTGAAGTTTGATTAAACTAGGAAAGCAATATTTTAAACTACACTTTATTGAAAGAACACTTTATTGAAAGTTTTGCCTAATTTTCCAGTATGAAACAGTGAAATCACTTGGGTTATGTAAACCCCATAAGCTTTATTGTCAATGCAGTTTAGTCTTCAAAACTATTGATTTTCATTAATTCACTTCCATTATACTCTCTATTTCCTTGTCCTGTTTAACTTAACATATGCTACATTTTTCTATGGAAGTGTAAATCAGCAGTAAACCCATGAGTCCTGGAATGGGGAGAGTTGAATAGAAAATATTAGTAAGATTACTTTTCCTTCTTTTGCATTCCTTTATTAGACTATTATGTGTTTTTTAAGCTCTAGCTATAATAGGACATAAGACAGACTCTGATCTTGGCAGCTGTGGTAACTAATCATCACAAAAATGTGATACTGTTAATTGAAAAATAAGACTATGCTGAAGATAGTTGAGAGAAAATAATAAAAAGTCACAAATGTTTAAACCGAAAAAAACCCCCACAAATTCTCTGTTGTACATTAGTATCTTCTACTAAGATGAGTGCTGGAGCCAGTAAATTCTATGTAGTTTGTAAAATAAATGTAAGGAACAATAATGACTAAACAATTTCCTGTGCTCCTGCTACTGACTGTGAGCTTTTTACTTCCTTA